CTAGAGTCTTGTTTGTCCTTTTACACTCAGTTATTTTAGAGTCTTGGCATTGTGGGATCACCTGGAATAATTTGATGCCTGGAATAACTTAATGCTTTTCATCAGCTTGTCAAACTCTGAGAAGGCCTTCCTTCCTGGTTAGGGCCACCCTAAGTCCACATTTAGCACTTTCCTGGATCATCTGGAGAAACAAATGTGACAGGCATCCTTGCAGAAACTTGCCCTCCTTCATCCTTGCTCTTGGCCTCTTTCCTCTCCAGTTCATTTGGTGGTGGGAGTATTCTAGACCCATAAGGTAGCCAATATCATAACTCAACATGGTGGTTCTATCTTCAACCTGGAAAGGCACCCTTTGGTAAAAGCTGTTTTGTGTCCCAGGCTTGCGCAGAGTTTTTGAACTTTCCTTATATGTCAGCTTACTTCTGTACAAGAGAGTTAACTCATAAGTACTTGTAAGGAGAATATATGTTGAGACTGGAGAGAAAGCTCAGCAGTTAAGAGTGCTCACTGCTCTTGCTTCAGTTCCCAACACTCACACTATGGCTCACAACCACCTGTAGCTTCAGTTGCAAAACATCCAGTGCTCTCTTTTGGCTTCCTTAAGCTCCTGCATCCATGTGGGGCACATACAATTCATGCATGGGCATGTGCATACACACACTAAATAAATCTTAAAAAAAAAAAAAAGAACGTGATATTTTATAGCCCTCTCCAGTTTGCTGGCCTGGAACTCTCAGTAGTGTTATCCTTGGGTTGATTGATTCGCCTCATGCTTGCTGTCTTGTTCTGCGTGGAGCAGAGTTGGGTATAGACTGCTCTCCATGTTATTTCCATCTTGGTTTTATTCTTGTCTTTTGAATTTTTAAAAAAAATTATACTATTACTGTGTGTGAGAGCATGTATACATATGCATGCCATAGCACCCCTGTGAAAGTCAGAAGACAAGTTCTTGTAGTTGGCCCTGTCCTTTAACCATGTAGGTCTTGGGGGACTGACCTGGGCACCAGGCTTTATGTGGCTAGGGCCTTTCCTGGATGAATCATTTAACCAGCCCTGGGTCTTTTGAATTCTTTAGAATTTCACCTTCCAAATGACTTACTTGTTACTTTCTCACTAAGAAGGTATCAAGTTTCAACTTGTTTTTGAAAACTAATCCATTGCTGTGGCTGTATTCAAAGCTGTGAAAGGGGACATGACACCCAGGTGCATGCAGGGCCCAGCCATCCTTCTGGAGAGCAGTAGGCACTGCTGGACATTTAGGTGTCCTTAAGTTATTCATGCAGTCATATTATCAGGTTGGGTGGGGTTTTGTTGTTTATTTTTTCTTAAGGCAAGGTCTTACACAGCTCAGGTGGAGCTCAAACTCATATGTAGCCAAAGCTGGCCTTGAACTTCACCCTGACACCTCTAGTGCTGGGTTACAGGAGTACACTGCCAGACCCAGGATATTTATCTTGTGACAAATATGTGTTTCCTGTAGCCCAAGCTGGTTTTCAGCTCCACGTGTAGCTAAGGATAACTTTGAACTCCTGACCCTGATTCTGCTGGGATGATGGCAGGAATGCACCACTGTGTCCAGCTTTGTTATGGTTTTAAAGTCACAACTTTAGTGCTGTGTAAATGCTTCAGCTTTTTTTTTTAAGTTATTAGTATTATTTATTACAATTTATTCACTTCTTATCCTAGCTGTAGCCCCCTCCCCCATCTTTTCCTGGTCTCCCCCGTTCCTCCCCCCTCCCTTGTTCCTCCCCTAGTCTGCTGGTAGGGGAGGTCCTTCCCTACTATCTGACTCTAGCCTATCAGGTCTCATCAGGAGTGTCTGGATCTTCTTTCTCTGTGGCCTAGTAAGGCCACCCTGCCAGGGGGAGGTTGATCAAAGAGAACACAACCAGGTTCATGCCAGTGGCTGTCCCTGTTCCCCTTACTAGGGAATCTCCATGCGTAGTCCTTGGTTGATTCATCAGTCTCTTCAGGCCCCCTTGGGCCCAGATATTTTGGTTCTGTTGGTCTCCTTGTGGAGCTCCTGTCTCCTCCAGGTCTTTCTATCGCCCCCTTCTTCTGTAAGATTCCCTGCCCTCTGCCCAAAGTTTGGCTATGAGTCTCAGCATCTGCTTTGATACCCTGCTGGGTAGAGTCTTTCAGAGGCCCTCTGTGGTAGGCTGCTGTCCTGTTCCCTGTCTTCTCTTGCTTCCAATGTCTATCCTATTTGCCCTTCTGAATGAAGATTAAGGGGGCAATCTGGCTGTGACATCTGTCACCCCACTGATTGACAGGGTTGAATCAGCTGATCTGGCTGGCTAGGCAGACGTCCCCTTCCTCCCTTACCACTCCATGTGCGTACCTCCCAAAACTGCATGTCGGCTTTTCTTATTTAGAGTTTTGTCAGGTTTTATGCATTTTGAGGCTATGCAGTAGATACATTGCAGAATCAAGTCTGTTGTAGTATCCATGTGTGTTTCACTCATAAATATTCCACTTGTTTGAAACATCATGTGATGTCCTATATTTTGTGTATTATTTTGTCAGTCTTAAAAAATAAAATTTACTTATTTTAGTTCAATTTAAGAATCTATGCTGGGCTGGAGTGATGGCTCAGGAGTTAAGTGCATTGGCTGCTCTTCCACAGGACCCAGGTTCCATTTCTAGGACCCACGTGGTGGCTCACAACCATCTGTAGCTCCCGTTCCAGGGTATCCAGTGCTTTCTTCTGGCCTCTGGGTGCCAGACATGCACATGGGACACAGACATACATGAAGGCAAAATATCCATACATATAAAATAATTTAAAAAGAGCCTTTAACATTTAAAAGACTCTCCATTTCTGCAATTACAAAGACCACTAAGTGTTAGAACTTTATATGGCTCAACATAGGAAATATTGACCTATAAGTGTTTTATTGATTCAGCAAATATTTGGTTCCTTTGTATTAGATGACAGTTCCAGGGGAGCTAATGTCCTCTTCTGGCTTCCATGGGAACCAGACATGCATATGATGCACATACACAAATACATACATACAGATAAAACCATTCATACACATAAAATAAAAATAAGTAATTTTTTTTTTTTTTAAATCCTCCCTGTTTTAATGGTGGGCATGTGTCATAGCTGCTCTGGAAAGCTGTTTGACCATGAGGACTCTGCTGAGCTCATGCTCCGAGAGCTGAGTCATATCAACACAGAAACATATGTATGTTCCCAGCATTATTCATAGCTGAGACAGAGAAGAAGCCCCATGTCATCACAACAGATGCAGAATGTGTTGTGTCCATATAATGTAGTACGGTTGTACAAAGGAGAGAAGTCCTGGTTCATGCTGAACCACAGATAGACCCAAAAAGATGATAAGTGCAACAGTCCATCACAGGAGACAGTATAGAACTGATGACTCCATTTTCATTAACTGTCTAGAATCAGCGAGTTAGTAGGCCAGTGATGGGGGTGGGGTGGGCAGGACAGTGAATCATTACTGTTGGATATGGGACATCTAAGTTTTCCTCGTTTGAGGGATGGTGTCTTGTAGCTCAAGCTGACCTCAAACTGGCTCTGTAGTAAGGCTGACCTTGAACTTCTGGGATTACAAATGGGACCCACTGTATCTTGTTTGAGTGGTGTTGGAGATCAAACCCAGGGCTTCAGGGGTGGTAGGCAAACACCTACATTTTTAGCCGCCTTTGGTTCTTTTGAGACAGGGTTTCTCTGTGTAACAGCCCTGGTTGTCCTAACACTTGCTCTGTAGACCAGTCTGACCTCAAACTCAGAGAAATTCACCTACCTGTGTCTCCCAAGTGCTGGGATTAAAGGGGTAGGCCACCATGGCTTTTTTTTTTTTTTTCCTAAAGAAACTCTCACTGTATAATTTAGACTGGCATCATTAACTGTTGATTCTTCCAAGAGCAGAGATTACACTAAGAAGAGATTTCTTTTTGAGGAGGAAAATGTTCTGGAATCAGATACTAGTAGTGATTGCATGACTATCAGTATGCCAAGGATAATGGAGTCGTACTTGGTAAAAGATGAGTGCTGCTGCTCAGTGATGCTGTTAGACACACAGAGGCAGCTAGCCATGCCCAGATGTGTTGAGCCACAAGGCTGACAGGTGCAGACCATCCCAGGAGATCCCTGGGACAAGTTACTCCTGGGACAGAAGTAGCGGCTGTTTCTGCTGCCAGTTTGCTTTGGGAGAAAATGTTTTGGCCTAAATGAGAAACCTTATGTTCTCAGCCAGAGCAGGCTTCAGTAGGTAGCCGTTTGTTAAGCACCATTTTATTCAGTGTTTCTTTGTGGCTTCATGATGCTAGTGTGACTGTCTTCAGGCAGCAGTGTTAGTTCCTGCCTTTCAAAACAGGTAGCTAAGCAGTCTAAATTTATTTTTTCCTTTTTAAATAGAGGTAAGCAAGTTTTATTTGTTTGTTTTTACTTGGCTGGACCAGGGTGCCATGCAGCTCAAGTTCTTCCGAGCTATATCATATATCCCTAGCCAGAGTTTTCTAGTTTATTTATTTTGAGAGTGTCAGTATGTAACATTTGCAAGTCTGGAACTTGCTACATAGGCCTTGAACTCATAGAGATCTACCTTCCTCTGCTTCCTGGAACTGGGGTTAAAGACCTGTACCTCTATACCTGGCCAGTTTACTTTTTAAAAGAAAAAAATTTCCAGGTGATTTTTGTGGTGGTGTTGGTATTAGGGGTTAAGCCTAGGGCCCTGGCATTCTCCACTGAACTGCATGCTACAGCTGTTATTTTACCTTGTTCTTTGTGTGCTCTTACTGCAAAATGGGTAACTTACAGCATCTTGTAGATGGATGAGATTAGCATTAATAGTTTTATTCTATAAAACATTTCTTAAGTTTTAAATTAAGTAATTCAATCACTGCCTAGCATGGGCAAAGCTTTGGGTTCTATCTTAAGCACTGAATGGGTGATAATAACCCCTGAATTAGGTTTACACCTTTAGATATCTGAAACGCAAAGGAAGTTCATTTCTAATGTTTTTCAGTGATGTATTGGCACTGCCCATCTTCAAGCAAGAAGATTCCAGCCTTTCCTTGGATGATGAGGCCAAGCACCCCCCCTTTCAGTACGTAATGTGTGCTGCGACTTCGCCAGCTGTGAAACTGCACGATGAGACACTCACTTACTTGAACCAAGGTTCGTGTCGTTTGTCATACTGATATGTAAAATCTACAAAAATCATAAGGAAACGTTTTTTATTGTAACCTACAGTGCTGGTGATAATTTAAAATTAGGTTCTTAAATTGTACAGTCTTAGAAAAAACTGTAGGACTTTTTCTGTGAGCCAGCAGTGTTACACAGAAATAGCCCTTTCATGTATATTGTGGTTCTTTTTTTGTCATTAAATGGAATCTTTAATTCATTGAACAATAGGTTTTAGGTTTTGTATTTATGGTTAATACTAAAAATGTGGAAAGGGAGCTGGACCTGGTGGCACATGTTTTTAAGTCCAGCGCTTGGGAAGTAGAGGCAGACCTCTGAGTTTGGGGCCACTCTGGTCTATACAGTGAGTTCCAAAACTACGAAGTGAGACCCTATCTTTAAAAAAGTGTGGAGGAAGATAACCTGTAATTTTCTTTGATAAGGATTTTAGAATCACGAGGCTCTTTACCTTGAGATGGTAGTCCTATCTGTAGTGCGTATGGCCACCTCACTTGGCTTTTGACATATAGTACTTACTTGGGCTTCAGTTATTAGAGAGTTAACTTTCAAATGATTTTATTAGTAATTTGTTTGGGATTTAAAGTTTTCAGAAGAAACAGCATGGGGCGAGGATACTCATTTAACCTTTTTTATTGTGTTGGTTGACTGTGGTGTCAGGGATAGAACCCTGAGAATTGTTTAGGCATTAACAGATGACATGGTTGAGTCTTAGCTATTCTAGTAAGAGGTGTCTTTGAGGTGCTTGGGATCCAGCCCAGGGATCTTGGTGTGTAAGGCAAGTGCCGCAGTCTGCACCTGGCCCACTAAGAGCTTTTCTGGCACAGGGCCTTGTTCCAGGGGGAGTCTGGATCTGGAGTCCTGACTGGCCAGGTACTTGTGCTTACACAAAGAGCAGTGCTTTCAGAGTTGCAGGGAGGCTGAGGGGCCTAGTAGGTTTAGGGCAGGACCCAGGAGCTTTCTTTTTCGCTCTCTACTTTTCTCTCATCTCTTTTGAGACAGGTTCCCTGCCTGGCCAGTAGCTCACAGAGGCCCACCTGCCAAGTGCTGAGGTTAAAGGTGTTTGCTACCACACTGCTAGGAACTTGTGTTTCTGACAAATTGTGGTGAGGCTGCTGCTGGCTTGAGGACCACAGTGCTGGCCCTGTCCCCAAAAAAGGGCCTTACTGTCTGTCTTAGAGCTTCTATTACTGTGAAAAGAAACCATGACAACTCTTATAAAGGAAAACATGTAACTGGGGCTAGCTTCAAAGTTTCAGAAGCTTTGATCCATTATCATCATGGTGAGAAACATGGTGCTGGGGAAGGAGCTGAGAGTTGTATATTTTGATCCACAGGCAGCGGAAGGAGACTGCTATACTGGGCCTAGCTTAAGCGTATGAGACCTCAAAGCCCACCTCCACAGTAACACACTTCTTCCAACCTACTTCAGCAAGGACACACGGCTGACAGTACTACTCCCCACTGGCCAAGCATTCAAACACATGAGTCTATGGAACCATTTCTATTCAAACCACTGTAAATCCCTGACTATCCTTGGAACTCACTTGTATAGACCCAGCTGGCCTTGAACTCATAGAGAGCTGCCTACCTCTGCCTCAGTTGCTGTGATTAAAACTGCACCACCACACTCCTCACGATTCACTTTTTGTTTTCGTGTTTTGATTTTTGAGACAGGTCTTATCTATGTAATAGCCCTGGCTGTCACTTTCTAGACCTACTTTGTAGACCAGGCTGGCCTCACTAAGATCTGGCTGCTTCTGCCTCCTGAGTGCTGGGGTGATAGGTGCGTGCCACCATGCCTGGCTTGCTTTTTTTTTTTTTTAATTACTTGGAATATTTAGAAAAATAAGTGGACTTTCATTGACTTTCTTTTTGCCTGTCTGTCTGCTGGGGATCAAACACTGGCCTCATGCATGCAGAACAGGTACTCCACTGCTAAGCTTCACCTCCAGCCCTCCAGCACCACCTGTTGGAGGATTCTGTTCAGAGGAGAGTTGGCAGTATTCAGGAGCTAATGCTGTGATCTGCTGTCTGCAAGGAGCTTCCGCTTTAGGCTCACTGCTAACCTGCTCTTGGAGCTATTCATTAGGACTGTACCATTGGGTAACATGAAGAAAAGACAGAGGAAACTGTAGGTAACTTAGGTAGCAGAAATTGGAACAAGAATTCTTAGCTGGGTGGCAGGGGTATTGTCTTCAAACTGTAGGAATACAGAGCTTAAAAACTGCTGCTGTGTATTTGGTTGGTTGTGTCTGAGTAGCCATTTGTGAGAAGAGGTAGGTCCCTGACTTTGACCCTAGAGTAAAAACTAGTCTAGCCTGGAGTAACTGGTTCTCCTTTGAGCAGGGTCTGACTCAAGTAGAGGACTAAGTAGGGACTAAGTCTCTAGGGGATGTGAGTGAGACCTGTTCTGCCTTATTGTATTCTGGATTAGCTTCTTGTAGTCACTGGAGCATCCCTTCACTCTGCTGGCAAAAAAGAACCTTTCTCCTAGTTTTTCTCAAAATACTGTTCATTTGTAGCTGAATTCTGTGTGGAGAATATTCTGCTATGAATGTTAATTAATATTAACCAGTGTTAGCTTATTTGCAAATAGGTTTTGGGCTCTAGGAAATAATAGCATGTTTATTGACTTATATGTCTATTAAAATACTGTATACTTTAGGGGAAAAAAAATGAATCTTTTAAATTACTTTCATTCCATAGTAGATTTTCTTTTTTTTAGTTTTGGTTCTTGTTACTGAAAGTCAGAACTATAGAAATAAAAGGCTGAAACTTAGGTAGCTGAGCAGTTAAAAACACTTGCTGCCCTGTTTTTTGTTTTTGTTTTGTTTTTTTAAGATAGGATCTCAGCTGCGTGGTCTTGACTGGCCTGGAACTCACTGTCCTCAAATTCACAGAAATCTGCTTCTCCCTCCCACATGCTAGGCTTTCCAGCCTTAAAAACACTTGGTACTCAGCTAGGCTGGGAAGTACACACCTTTAATCTCAGCACTTGGGAAGCAGAGGCAGGTGGATCTCTGTGAGTTCTAGGACAGCCAAGGCTACACAGAGAAACCCTGTCAAGGTTTGGGGGCAGGATGAGAGCCAACAAAAAACTCACTTGCTACTCTTGCAGAAGAAGAGCCTTAGTTCAGTCCCCGCACCCACATACCCTGTACAACCATTTGTAACTCCAGCTCCAGAAGGTCTAGTACACTCTTCTCGCCTCTGTGGACACCGGCCACATGAGGAGGCAAAACATTCTTTCACAGAAATTAAAAATGAATTTTTTCAAAAGCTTTATTGGTTCTCTGTGAATTTCACAGCATGCACCCCAACTCTACTCATCTCTCCATCCTTGAAACCTCCCCCTGAAAGAGAATAAAATAAGATAGAATTAAAAAAAAAAATCTTGTATCACAGTATATTTTTTTGATCACACATCTTGCAAATGTTCATTGCAATGAGTCATTGGTCATTTTCAAGGCACGTCTGGTTTCTGCTACACTGGAAATCACGGGACTCCTCTCAGATATCCTGTTGTTGCTTTGTGTCATGGAGCTCCTACAGCTTTGGATCTGCATTACCAGCCCCTTCATATGCCCCAGCAGATCATAGATGGGGTAAATGTTGGGGTGGGCCAGCCCAAAGCCCAAGATCTGGACCTGGAAAGTAGCTGAGTTGGTCAGCCTACCAGCTCTCCTGGGCCCACACCACCAGGGTGAGTTCTCCAGCACTGCCCCAGCTAACTCATCCAGTGCCACAGCCAGCAAGAGACAGGGTCAGCTCTCCTGTTCTCATGACCTTGGGTCCAGTTTACCCACACACTTACCACCAGGGCCAGCTCTGCTATGCTTCCCAGAGGAGGTTCAGGGCCTGCCCTCCCAACTGCTGCAGCCAGTGAGAGGAGGGCCCAGATCACCTGCCTACCACAGGCTTTGAAGGGCCAGGAGGGGACATCTCTCTTACCCATGCCCATGACACCCCATGGTAAATGAGGGGCAGGGCAGGTCTCATGCACTCAGGCTCTCAGGGCCCACTCACCTGTACCGTGCCACCAGCGTCAGCTCTACGGGGCTGTCCAAGCAAGGAGCAGGGCCAGCTCTCATGCTTTCATGACCTGTAGGCCAGTTCACCCACCTGCCATAGGCTGTAAGGGCTGGGAGGGTATCTCTCCCTAACCCTTTTCCAGTGAGGGACTAGGCCAGGCCAGCTGTCTTTCACTCTTGCCCTCAGGGCCAGCTCATCTGCTTTTGGGTCAGCTCTACTGTGCTGCCCCAGCCCAGGAAGGGTCAGGACCAGCTCAGCACAGTGCCTCAGGCAGCAGTCTAGATCAGGGACATCTGCATGGCCTCTGGTGATAACATGGGCCTGGGACAGCAACACAGGCCCAGGCTGCCATAGGACCACAGACAAGGCATGGTCCTGGCAGCAACCTGGGCATGGATGTCCCCATGGCCTCAGGTAGCAGCACAGGCCACGCAGATCAGCACTCCCCACAACCCACTCTCTCCTGTCTATTTCTTTGCTTCCCTCAGCCCCACAGCACAGATCACAGGCATCTGCTTGGCCTTTGGTGGTAACTAGGGGTGCAGACATCAACACACACACCAGGTGCAGCAGGACCACGAACCCAGAAATAGCCCTTGGCAGCAGCCAGGTTAGGACCTGACTCATACCTGCCTGCTCATCATTCCAGTTCCACCTTTCTCTACAGTATTAAACCCCTCAGCTTCACTTTCTCTTCCATCTCTCCACCACATACTTCATCTTTCCCATCTCTCCATCAGACATTCGCTCATCAAAGCGGAGCCTGTGGCAGGCACTTGGGTGTCTTTCTTCCATCTGCCGCATTGTCCCATGTTGGCATACTTTAATTTCTAAACTATTTTACTTATGTTTCTTATGTCTCTTTCTCCCTTCTCCTCCCCACCCCCTTCCAGCACCCCATCAACAGGTAGGAGAGAAAGGTGGGGAGAGGGAGCGTAGTTCTCTTTAGCTGATTCCTTCTGGATAGGGTCGTTGGGTTCCTTGGCAAATCCAATCTTTAAGAATATCTCCAGCTTCTCTCATCAAGCGACATCAGCAACCAGAAGCAGCAGGGGGGAAGCACCAGCAGTATTCTTCCTTGGAGCCCCTTTTCTCTGTCTGGGCTCTGGCCTCTCTTCCCTCTCATCGTCCTCAGAATTAACAGTATCTACAGCTGGCAAAGAGCCCCTCTCAGAGACTGCACGAGGCAAATTGTTTGCTACTGTGGACATTTGACTCAGTCCCACATCCCACACCTGGGATTAAAATAAAAACGTGCCAGGCATGGTGGCGCACACAGACAGGCGGATCTCTGTGAGTTCAAGGCCAGCATGGTCTGCATATCATAAACCAAAACTTCAACAACAGTCCCAGGACAAGTGCTTGGGTGTCTTCCTTTGGGCCAGCTGGTGCCGTGAATTTTATTTGTTTGTTTTTTAATGTTTAAGCTTAGCCAGGTAGACATTAGGTAGATTTAAAGTCTGAGTACTCAAAAGATAGGTAGGGGATATGAACCCATCATAGCAGTTGTATTTTCTTTTCCTGGGTGGGGGAAAGAGGACTGTTTGTTTGCTTGTTTGTTTGTTTTTCGAGACAAGGTTTTTCTTTGTAGCCCCTTCTGTCCTGGAACTCACTTTAGACCAGGCTGGCCTTGAATTCACAGAGATCCACTTACCTCTGTCTTCTGAGCACTGGAATTTAAAGTTGTACACTACCACACCTGGGTAGCAGTTCTGTTTTCAACCATGGTAGTTCTTCTGTGCTAATAAACCCAAAAAGAAAAAAAAATATCGAAGTGTGGAACATAAATTGAGACAGTAGGGTCTAGAACAATGGCTCAGTGGTTAAGAGTATTAATGCTCTTGTAGACAACCTGGGTTTGGTTCCCAGCATACACGTGGTGGCCTGTACCTATCTGAACTCCAGTTTCCTCCACAGGCATCGCATGAACATGGTGCACATGCATACTGTAAGCAAGTACATTAGATAAAAAGTAAATAAGTCTTTTTAAAAAAATCAAAGGTAAAGCTCAAAACAGGATCAGCAGCTCACAGGGTGCCAGAGTTTGACTGTGTATACTTTATTAAGAGTGGAAACATTTCACATTTCATTTGGAACTAAAACCCAAGAGGTTGAAAAGTCTGGGGAGGACAGGACAGATGGAAAGAGAAACCTGTGAAGTCCTGGTCATCCTTCCAATGGATGTTCCACTGGGGTTTGACCAGGCAAGTGCTGTATCTCTGAGCTGTATTCCCTAGGGATTTAAAAAAGGCTGTCAAGTATTGGAATTACAGGTACAGAGCAGCACCATGTCCAGTTCACAGAACCCTTTAAAGCCCACTACTGGTTTGGGAGAATAAACATTTAGAGCCTATTGTCCAAGAGCAGCAAGTCTTGATCTGTCTGTGGGAAGACACTGCATGGTTCCTTACGTGGACCAGGAAACATCAAGCAAAGAAAGCAGGGATGCCAGGATTCCTCTTTGCTCTTATTTTTCTGACATGTAGATTTTGAGTTTCCAAGGATCAGGAAATAATCCCAATGGGATGTTTCCCTTTGTCCATGACAGCCATATGAGCACTGCTTTGTCGGCCTCTTACTCACTGCTTTCCTTAGGCGACTCCAAGAGGCTAAGTCCAATATATTTATCTTTACTCCTTCCGTGACCCTTGTTTAAATGGCTTGACCCAACAACTGTATCCCAAAAAGCCATCTGTTAGCCTCTGCAGCCCAATCTCTTCCTCTAGCTACAGAGTTTAAATTAATTTACCGGTGTAGGTGCCCAGTGGGCTCAGACTTAATCCTCTGTGTGTTGATCTGCTCTGGGTCTGCTCCTTGCTGCCTTTACCATGTCAGGAGCTGGCAGCTGCTCTACCTTGATTAGAACTCTGGAGCGGCTCTCAGCTCCCCTCTCACAGTTTCAATGAACAGAAAACTCCCTTGGGCTCTTCTTGCAGAGTCTCCAGTGAGTGACCTCTGCTTTCAGCCTGTTGCAACTCAAACTGAGGGGCTGACACCACCCTGATAGGTCAGTAATGGTTTGTATTTCTCTCATGGAGGTTGATTGGTCTTAAATTGGCATTTCCTTTTTTCTTTTCTTTTTTAATCCCTAGGACACAGTTTCCTCTGTGTAGCCCTGGCTGTCCTGGAATTCACTCTGTAGACCAGGCCAGCCTCAAACTCAGAGATCACTAGCCTCTGCCTCCCAAGATTAAAGCCTTGCTGGGATTAGAGCTGTGTACTACCACACCCAGCTTTGTGAGCACTTACTGAGTATTGGGTGGACAGCCCTTTGAGGAGAGTACAAGTTAAAATAGTGCTCTTGTTTTTTTGTTAGAATACTGAACCCAAAGGTCTTGAATTGTACTTATTGACGGTGCATACAGGTTGCTTTCCAGAGGTTGTTTACCGTTCACCATTGGATGAACTCATTCCTTCCCCCTTGACTTTTTCAAGACCATGTTTCACTGTGTATCTTGGGCTGGGCTGGAGTTCTTAGTCTTGCTTCACCCACCAGAGTGTTGACTTCTGGTTAATTAAGCATTTTTATTAGTTGGATAACCAACACAAACCTTTTATTTTTATTTCCTAAATTCTCATGATTTTTTTTTTTGTTTTTGTTTGTTTGTTTGTTTTGTTCTGTTTTTCCTTTTTTGAGACAGGGTTTCTTTGTGTAGCCCTAGCTATCCTGGACTATCTTTGTAGACCAAGATGGCCTTGAACTTACAGAGATCTGCCTGCCTCTGTTTTCCCGAGTACTGGGATTACAGGTGTTCCACACCGCGCTAGACTTGAGATTTGGTGTTATTTTAAGTATGCAATGGTATATTTTTCAAAACTGCATCTGTGCTTTTAAAAAATGGTTAGTTTTCAAAATTACAATTCATTGTTAAGTACGTTGCAGTCTGTGTCTTAGTTTAAATATTTTAACTTTGTCATAAATGCATTTATTATTCTTTCAATATGATGGACACATTTAAGAATATTTCTCAGGAATGTTTTATGCCCAGCTGGTTTTTTTTCACCAGTTTTCAAGTGATTTGATTATGTTTTGATTACCTTTTGTTGAAAACTATGATCTAAAGCAGTATCGCTCAACCTTCCTTATGCCGAGACCCTTTAATACAGTTTCTCATGTTGTGCTGATCCCCAACCATAAAGTCATTTTGTTGCTCCTTCATAACTGTAATTTTGCCACTGTTAGGAATCATAATGTAAATATCTGGTATGCAACCCCACAGGGGACACAGCCCATGTTGAGAAGTGCTGATATAGTCTCTTTTGCATATTTTTCTATAGGCCCACAGGATTGATAGGGCGTTGATAGTTAAAAGTCTCTAACTCACTGGTATTAGAAACAGTCTTCAGTTTATATCAAAGTACATTTTCATTATTAACAACCCAGGACAATATTTTGTTGTAACTTGGACATGTATATTTAACTGTGTGTATGTATGTACATGTTTCTTGTGGGGTTAGGTGGTGTGGATGTGAGTGCTGTTACCCTCTAGCTAGCGTTGTAGGAGGTTGTGAGCACCTGATACAGGTGCAGTGAATCAAACTTTGGAAAAGCAGTAAGTGCTCTTAAACACTGAACCACCTCTCTAGCTCCTTGTGGTTAATTTAATTTTATGTTTGCAACAGCAGCTTATTCCTAATTTTCTAAATTTTCTAGACCAGTGTGTAGAAATTGCATGCATGCGCGCGTGCGCGCGCGTGTGTGTGTGTGTGTGTGTGTGTGTGTGTGTGTGTGTGTGTGTGTGTACGAATGAAGCAATGGGCAAGTGTGACTAGGATTCAGTAACAGAGAGAACCTCCCAGATTAAAATTGGTGCTGGTCCGTGTTCATAGCACCGTTTGTTGTCACCCCAAAATTGGAAACAACCCAAAACATACATCATTTATGAGTAAATGAGCAAAATTTGGCCTGTGTATGCAGTAGAATATTTTTTGGCAATAAAAAGGAAAATAATTGTATTAATTTATATTAAGTGAAAGAAGCCAATCTCCAAAACCCAACATACTATGTTTTTGTTATATAAATGTCTTTAGTAGGCAAGTCCCTAGAGATGGAATGTGGATTAGTCATTGTCCGGGGCCTTAGGGGATGGGGCGGGAGCATAGGAAGGGATTGCTGTTTAAGATAATGAAAATGCTCTAAAATTGATAGTATTGGTAGTTGAACAGCTCTGAACATATTTAAAACTCCATGAATTATAACTTAAAAAATAAAGTTCATGGAATAAATTAATATTTCAGAAAAACAGAAAGTTAATCTCAGATATATATGCAGGAAAACAGTTCAGGAGATTGGCAGGTGAGAGTAAACTGACAGGTGACTTCCATGTGTAAAAGGATAGAATGGTGTGTTTTTTTCAGGGAAATAAAAGAGAAGCATCAACTTGAATTTGCTTCTATGGCACACTGACAAATTAATATCATGTACTTGTATATTCTTAGGTACAGTTAAATTTTGTAGAATGCAGTAGTGCTCTTTACATGGATTGTTTTTGATACAGAATTTCTTTAAATTAGGCCAGTCTTATGAAATTCGGATGCTGGATAATCGCAAAATGGGTGATATGCCTGAGATCAGTGGAAAGTTGGTAAAGGTAAGGACTCTCTGTTTTTTATGTGTAATAGATAATGTGGTGATTGAATAATATGGCTGTTTTCGTGCAAGAGGTTTCTTTGGTTTTTAAAAATACGTGTTTATCTTGAGTGTGCCACTGCCACAGCATGCACGGGAGGCCGAAGGAAACTGCTCCACTGTGTCTTCTGGAAAGTACATTTTTTCCTCTGAGCCATCGTTGCAAGCCTTTTTTTTTTTTTTTTTTTTTTTTAATAAAATTTTTAAAATACCTCTTTAGAAAAATGACTATTTTAAAAGTTTGGCCTTTTTAAGCTGTGTTTTGCTTACTCGTGTCTAACGTAGAAATTACAGTTGTTGGGAACCAGGAAGCAAGAGAAAAGTTAGTTTAGTTATGCGGAGCAAAACCAATCACCACAGTGTTACAGTAAGTAAAAAAGAATGTGGGACTATACATTATCGATTATCATGGCAGTATTATTTAACTCGCTATCACAAATAACAAGACACAGACACCTGTTAGATTTATAATTGTGTTATTTGCCTTGGGCCGGGCAGATATTTCACTTACACTGTCTCAATATCCTCACCATCCATTTCCCAGCCTCCATCCAACACCATCCACTTTAATCCTCTGCAACTGGACTTTCATCCATAATCCCATGGTGTTTGATTGTATTCTTCATCTGGGCCTTTTCACACCATTAGTGGAGGCCTTTCTCTCAGGCCACATGGTTTTTTTCTCCACACTAACGCATTGGGGTGTCCTCCTTCCTCCTCTCTCCCATCCTTTTGTCCCCCCCATTTTCTCTCTTGAACCCCTAAGCCTGGGGACCTAAGCCATGCCTACCTCATTCTGCCCTGCCCAGGTATAGGCCATTTAATGAAGCAGTCAGGTGTAATGTTTTAGGCAGGTTTACGTAAACAAGGATGGGTGTATCCAGAGGGCAGGAAGCAGATCTTGAGGGCCAGTAATTAGCGTTAGAGCAACCTCCAACATCACAGCTAACCCTAAACTTAAAATTTACTTTACTTCCTATTGGTAGGGGAGAGGAGAGCGGTTGCACATGCCCAGGGGTGCACATGCCGTTGGTGGAGGCCACAGGGACAAACTTTCAAGATCCTTTTATTTCACTTTTTAAATTTTTCTTCAGAATAACTTGGAATTTCAGTTTATCTGCTAGTGTATCTAAAGGAGGATTCAGTCATCCTACGTAGAAAACACATAGTCCTTGTCTGGTCAGCCTTGAGGATTGTTCCTCTGTCATATGGCTCACCTGGGTGAGTCCTTCTAGCTTCTGTCTGCCTGTGTACCAGGGCGCGGTATACACACCATAGCACTAGAGACAGTAAGTTCTGTAATAGGCTTGTCGGGAAGGTCCAACTTGCACTGTCAGCAGGAGGCTGCACGGCTCAGCTATCCTGACAGTTGCTGCAGTATTGGGGATCAAAGCAGGAGCTCACATAGGCTAAATAGTGTGCCCCTCTACTCCCAGTAATAGTTTTTTAAAAGTATGACTGCATTTTTCTGTCACTGTGAAAGCTAAACAACGATCGCATGCTGCTTTTACCAAAAATGTGCAGTTATAGAAGACTGAAGATTTGTCATTATGGATCCTGTAATAAATTTCATGAGTGTTTGATGTGTCCTGGGTTAAGCCCTGGGTTAAGCCCTTTAAAACTGGATCCAAAAGTGGTGCATCCGAATATTGGGACAGGGTCTCCTGTCCTCCAGATTGGTCTCAAATGCATCATGTAGGCTGAGGATGGCCGTGAATTTCTGGTCTTTCAGTCTCTACCTGCGAGTGCTAGGATAATAAGCGAGTACACTGTGCTTAGCGTGGATTAAACCCATAGCTTCATGCATGCCAAGGAAGCTATCAACTGAACATTATCTCCAGCCTCCAGAGTTGTTAGGATATCTAAAAAAACTTTGTTGTTTGGTTTTTTGTTTTCCTCTTAGTGTTGAGTATTGAACCTAGAGTGCCATGCATGCTAGGCAAGCACTCTCTTATCAGTAAGCTAAATTGCAACTCCATTGGACCTCTTATTTTGTAACTGTTTGAATAAGCCACCCTGAGCTCCCTGTGTAGGCCAAGCAGGCCTTGAACTTGCAGTCTTCCTGCCTCAGAGCTCCTAAGAACATGGTTCCTGGCTTGTACCCTCAGGTCTGGCTTTTTAACCTTTGTTTTGTAAACTTTGAACATACTCAGAAGTAGGGGGGGGTTTACCTGTTATGTGGGAGCATGTGAAAAATGCATATGTCTATCTTGAGTTCTCATGATAGATTCTCTTGTCAGCGTAAACAGTTACCAACAGTTGCCAGTCTTGTTTCACCTGTGTGCTCTGTTTAAAAAATATTTTTAAAAATAGTTGTGTGCGTGCATGCATGCACCTTTGTGCTTGTGCAAGAGCCCTCATAAGTCAGAAGACAAAAGATCCCCAATAGCTGGAGTGACAGGTGGTTTTGAGCCTCCCTGTGGGTGCTGGAAACAGAACTTGGCTCTTCCTCAAGAGCAGGTTCTCAGCAGTATTTAACTGCTAAGCTGTATGCCTTGCCCTCATACCCTCTGTGGTCCTTGTGTGCATGCTGGGTTAGACAGTATACTAATGTTTTGTCGTTATTTCGTTTTTAATGGGATTTCTTTGTGTAGCCATGGCTGCCCTGGAACTCACTCTGTAGGCCTGGCTGGCCTCAAACTCAGAGATCCTGCTGCCTATGCCTTCCCACTGCTGGGATTAAAGGCTTTTTAAGGGAGTTACTTGATTGGGAAATAGCTAGATAGGTGAGATGTGTTTAAAATAATTTCATCAAGCTAGTCAAAATGCCTCTCAGATTAACTTGTTATGAAAGGTTAATCAATTTGTTGAGCTGCCTTGGACATACCTCCAAACTAAACACAGAAACAGTATATCAGACTAACTCAACTGAAGAAACAGGCAGCACTGCAGTACGTGAAATAAGAAGCTATAACTAAACCAGCCAGATGGCTCTGCACTGCCGCCGCCATCATACTAGTTTATATAAACATTGAGCACATTTTAAGAGGCTTTACTTCCAGCTCACCGTTGAGCGCATAAACCACATGTCTGATTTTTTTTTTTTCCCTGTTGAATGTGTTAGAATACACTCAACTATATCCTGAGGGGTAGGAGTAAGAACATAGATGACTGTAGGATGAACTTACCGAAAAATCTTATCTTTGTAAATTTTATTTATTGGCCCTGTGATTTTTGACTGTACAGCTTAAATTTGGAGGCACCTGGTACACAAATGGTATGTTGTCAGATGTGGCATGGAAGTTGTTTGTGTTAAACATACTTGATGTGCTTTTTATTTATGGATGATGGAGTCTCTCTTTGTAGCCTAGTCTGGAGTAAACTCCTTATATAGCCCAGGATGCCTTTGAAGTCAGTATTGTAGCCTATACTGACCTGTGAGCCTACTGCCTCAGCTTCCCAAGTGTTAGGATTTCAAGCCTGTGCCTTTTGTACCGGGTTCTTCCCCTTAGCCTTAGCTTAGTAGCTGTGCTCTGGGCTCTGCCCCCATGGCCTTGGCTTGGTAGTTGGTCCCTTTATCTAGTGCTAGTTCTATAGGTGAAGTCTTTTTACCCAGAACATTTAGTTCCCTTCCAGTGTTCTTTTGTATCTTCTAAGTCAAGTCACTCCCAACATTACCACCCTTTGACTTTTCAGTGGGCCTGTTGTGGCCTGGCATTTATTATGTAGCTCAAACCTCAGATTTGCCATGCTCCTCCTTCTTGTCTTACATGTGCTGGGCTTATGAGTGTGAGCTATCATGCCTGGCTCTACTTTTTATATGTTTAAAATTTGAGACAGAGCAAAGGATTCAGTTGCAAAGAATGGCCTTGCACTCCCCTTATAGCCTAGGTTAGCTTCATACTTCTAAGCCTCCAGCCTCCCAAGTAGTTAGGATTATATATAAGCCTATATCACTAGGCTCAGCTAGAATAATTGTCTTTGAAGTTTTTTGTTGCTTTGTTTATTTAGTTTATTTGTTTATTTGTTTATTTGTTTAGTTTTATGTGTATGCCATGATGTGTGTGTACATTAGAGGAAATTTCTATGTAATCCGTTCTTTCTTCCCACCTTTATGTGGGTTCCCAACGTTGATCTGAGGTTATCTAGCAAGCACTTAGCCTCTGAGCCACCTCACCAGCCTGTCTAAAGAAACATAGCCAACTGGGTACAGTGGCACACACCTTTGTTCCCAGCGCTGGGTGCGGGAAGCAGAGGCAGGCGGAACTCTGTGAGTCCAGGACAGCCAAGGCTACACAGAGGAACCCTAACTCAAGGTGGGGGGGGGGGGGGGCTTGATAATTTTTGAGATAGCCTCTAGATTGCAAGAATTGCAGACATGAGTCATGACAGCTGGTATTAAAACAGTTTACTGTTGTGTCTGGGGTTATCTATAATATTTTCATATTTTATGATTCTTTTTGGGTATTTGTTATTTTCTCAGAAATTAATCCCTACTCACTAATTTCATGGTTGGGAATATTGATTTTTTTATTATAATAGTGAATTAATTTATTAAGTTATACTGTTTAAATTTGCATAATTTTTAAATATAATTCTAGTAACTAAGTAAGTGTGTTATAATATAAATCAGGTATCCAAGAATAGAAAAGTTGACCGGTGGAATTTCTTTTCTCTTATTTTGGAAACAAGATGTCACTCTATATCCTATATTGGCTTTGAAATCTGGCCCAGGCTGGCCTCAAACTTGAAGCAGTCCTATTGTCTCAGCCTCCCAAGTGCTGGCATTAAAGGTGTGAGTCATGATGCCCAGTTTCACAAAAGGAGTATTTAAAGTGGAAGCTGGTTTTGTATGTGCATCTACTACTGGTTAATACGGATGCTGCTGCTGCCGCCGCCGCGCCACCACCACCTTTAGCTGAGTGGTTGAAATGCGCACTTTCCTCCCTTCTTTCACAGAGCATCATAAGGGTGGTATTCCATGACAGGAGGCTACAGTACACGGAACATCAGCAGCTTGAAGGCTGGAAGTGGAATCGCCCAGGAGACAGACTTCTCGATTTAGGTACAGGTGGCTGTCAAAAGACCATGGAAATGAAGGCCCTGTGTAGCTGCATCCATTAGTGTGTCAGTACCACGTAAAATTCCTGCTCAGATGCAGTTGGTATTATAGATCTTTGTCTTGAGAATTGTTTTATGCTTGAAGAGTTAAGTAGCTGTGTGGTGCTAAAGTAACCTCAACCAGGAATTGTATGATTTTGAAGCTATTTTAAACTCAATGGGCACCGTCCATCATATTCTTAATGAAATGAAGTATGAGCCGTGGTAGGAGAAACTGTGATTCTTGTTAGGTGGATTTGATATTGAAGACAAGGTTGACTACGGAGAACGTTGAAGGGAAGTTCAACATGGATTAATTATTTCCATAGAGCATAATATAGTAAGTTTTAAGTTTGTTTTGTTTTTTGTTTGATTTGTTTGTTTTGTTTTGAGATGGGGTTTTACTATGTGTCCCAGGCTGCACTTGAACCCCTAGGCTCAAGCCATCCCCTGTACCCCAGCCTCCCGAATAGCTGGGACTCTACTTGGGTGTGCTGCCACACCAGGCTCAAATTGTAAGTCTTCTAATTACTTAAAATGGATGCATTTTTTTGTAACTTGTGTTTGAACATACAGATATTCCAATGTCTGTGGGAATAATTGACACAAGGACAAATCCAAGCCAGTTAAATGCAGTTGAATTTCTGTGGGACCCTGCAAAGCGCACATCTGCCTTCATTCAGGTTTGCCTTTTTATGTTGTTAGAAGCGTACTGCCCAGTCATTTAGAAGATAAAATTCCTATCTCATGAAAATATTTCCTATTTGTAAATTATAATGTCATGCCTTTCTTTTTTTAATACACAGTCAAAATGGGTTTAATTTACTAGATTAGTCATGTAGACATAAAAACAATATTTTTTTTTCTTTCTTTTTTTTGGGGGGGGGGGGGGGCAGACGGACAGGGCCTTACTGTATATCCCTGGCTGTCCTGGAACTCACTATATTGACCATAGAGGCTGGCCTTAAACTCCCAGAAATCCACCTGCCTCTGCCTCCTGAGTGCTGAGATAAAAGGTGTGCACCATCACTCCTGGCTTTTTTTTTTCTCCCCCCAAGACAGGGTCTCACTTTGTAGCCTTGGCTTGGGTGGCCTGGAGTTTGACATGTAGGCCGATATGCCACCACACCTGGCTTTTTAATTTAATTTTTTTTATTGGTATTCACAATAATAGACATTTCTATTTTTTTCATGATGTATATTTTTCTTGAATAGAAACTGCCATTTAAAAGGATACTACTGAAAAAAGTTATCAGGTTTAAATTTTTTTTCTGACATTATATAAAGCATGTTTGTAATGACACTTTAAAGCTTCCACAAGTAAAGAGATGATAATGAATTCTTCATGTGTCTGTGATGTGGTATGAACAGTTACCATTTTTTTCCTCTCTTTTTAGTTATTATTGGCTTCTTTATTTTTTGAATAGGGTTTTTACTGTGTAGCTCTAGCTGGCCTGGAACTTGCAATGCAGACCAGTCTCAGCTTGAGCTAACAGACATCCACCTGCCTCATCCTCAGTACTGGGATTAAAGCTATCCACTGACATACCAGGCATTGCTGGCATGTGTTAAAACATTCCCACTGTATTTTACCCGTAAACACTTTGTGTGTCCAAGAGATTACTTTGAAAGTAACATGTTCACATATTTAAAACTGAAAGGTAATTTTAGTATGTGCTATGCAAATTTGCAAGTGGTGGAATTTTAACTACTTATAGTCTTATATAGAAGGGGATAGCCATTTAATTGTGGACCAGCTTAAGAATTTGCACCAACTCTAAGTATCATCGGCATTCAGTATTTGGTTGTGTCCCATATATTACCCATCAGTTAATGATGCTGACATGATTCATATTGGTTGATTATTGTCACAGGCTATTAATGTTTGTCCAATAGAATAATCAATTTTGTGGTAAATGAGTGATAAGATCTGGCCTTATCTCAGGTTCTGCAACCATATTTCGGAGGTGAGCTTTCACACTGCGTATCATTTGAAGAGGGCATGTCAGTGCAACAGTCTGAAATGACTGTGTTGTACCCTGAGGCTGCTTTCTGAAGTGGGTGGGGCTTAAAATGAATAGTTACCCCCAGGATCCTGACAGGACTTGAAAGGGTTAACCTAGAGAATTTAGATAGATAAGTAATGAGGCTTTTCCTGGGCTGAAAATTGCCCAGGAAAAGTATCATAGTATGGTGTATGTGGAGAAGCAATAGCTGGGAGCTTGGCTGTCTCCAACACAGTGGAGGCAGTGGTGGAACAAGCCTTTGGGGCCTGAATCTGCAAGTGCATGTTGTTAGGGTGGAGGCAGGCGACACTGCGTAGAGGTTTCTGTGTTCTTGTTTCCTCACTGGAGCAAGTCCCCCATGAGAGAAGCGCTAGAACAAGAACTGCTTGGGCCTAGTGAGTCCAGAGATGATGGAGTTGTTAAAGGCACACCTTTGTTCAGAATAATTTCAGGAAATTTATGAGATAATATGAATGTCTTGTAGATTTTAAGTGCTTTTGAATGTACATCTCTGAGGGAAAAAAATAGAGCCTCAGTGGAAGGGTTTTTGAATGTAGTTCGGCTTGAATTGTTTTGTAGGTACACTGCATCAGCACTGAATTCACTCCACGTAAGCATGGAGGTGAAAAAGGAGTGCCTTTTAGGATCCAAGTTGACACCTTTAAACAGAATGAAAATGGGGAATACACAGATCATCTTCACTCAGCTAGCTGCCAAATCAAAGTTTTTAAGGTAAGCAATGGAAACCAGGAGGGATGCTCCGTTTTGTTTGTAAAGCTGTGTGCAGCCAGGTGAATGAAGTCATCTACTTTGTCTTCAAGCCTAAAGGTGCGGATAGGAAACAAAAAAATGACCGAGAAAAGATGGAGAAGAGAACAGCTCATGAAAAAGAAAAGTATCAGCCATCTTATGACACCACCATCCTCACAGAGGTAATACGGCGCAACATTTGGTTTTGGAGAGAAGCAGAGGTTTGCGTGTTAGCAGGACCTCACAGATGTGTTGCAACAAAGGGAGTAGGAAGGCTGGGTGGCGGACTGACATGATATTCAGAGGATTTTGTGGGCATATGTTTTACCTAAGTTTGGGACATTTTGAGTTTATTTGCCTGGGTGGGATTTTGAATGAAGATGCTGAAATCCCAATGAGGTCTCAGAATAGACCTTAAAACCTTGAAATGGACAAGAGGTTTAAGTGGGGGCTTACCAATGTCCAATTTTTGTCACTGCTGGGGTTTTGCATTTTCTTTTAACTTTGAATCCTGTTAGTCATACATTTGTTTAATTGAGCACAAAGACATGAAACAGGGTATTAGGTCTTTCTTTGTATAATGAAAAGACATTGACCCCAATCTTTGGTGTTTGTCCAGATGAGGCTTGAGCCTATAATTGAAGATGCAGTTGAACATGAGCAGAAAAAGTCCAGCAAGCGGACTTTGCCAGCAGACTACGGTGATTCTCTGGCAAAGCGAGGCAGTGTAAGGGGCTTCTGCTTCTCTTTTCATTGTGCAAGAACCCTTGTGCAGTGTTAGATATAGGACCAACTTCCATGGAAAAGTAAAGCCGAAATTGTTTTTGATGTCCATGTCTTGATTTAATTTGCTTTTGTTTAGACTTTCTGCTTTCGGTTTGTTCCTCATTGAGGAAAATTTCCTAAATCTAACACTTTAAAACAAAGCATAAACAATGTTGACCATATTGGGTGGTTTTGGAGGGAACGACATTCAGAGATATGTTTTCCAACTTGTTCCCTTGTTGCCTTCCCCTCTCCCCCCCTCCTCCCATCTCCTCACACACACAACTCCTTCAAGATAATTGAAATTACTTGACTAATTTTAAATAGCTATCATTTTTATGTAGTTAAGGAAAGTCTTGCTTTTTCACTTGTCTACCTAATAAGAAAATTTTATAGGTAGTTAAATGATGGCAGCAGGCTTGACATTAATGTGTGCAGTGCTCCGTGTCCCATTCCCCTGCATGCACTTTAAGAATGTGTGTCTGTCTGTGCTTTTAAAAGCCTCTTTGGCAGCACTGGTAGAAAAACATCTTTGACTGTGTAGTGTTTCCTTTTGGCACCTCCATTGTGATGTAATGCTTCAGGCCACAGTGGTGGCCTTGCTGCACTTAACCCTGGGACCTCAGGAACAAGCAGTCAGTGAGGTTTTTTGGTTGAGCTTTGTCACAATTCTGTCCAGCAGTCCATGGAGAATTGTTCTGGTTGCAGATTTAAATCAGTTTGCATACCCTTATTAAATAGTAGGAATATTAAAGATTTTCTTAAGATAGCTATTCTGAGTAGTATCCTGTTCATTATTGCACTGTTTGAATTATTAGAGGCCTCCAAACAGATTTTCACCCTTTTATGTTTATCTGTGATTAATTGTGGACTTTGAAGGTCAATATCACAAGCACTATCACAGGAATGTCACTTTCATTTTAAAGTGATGTTTAAAAGCTTCTTTATGCATGCTCACACTATTTATTTGCATTTTCTTTAGACAGTAGCCCAGCATGGTCTGGAACTTACTGTTGTTGCTCAGGTTGGCTTTGAACTCATAGCAGTCCTCCTACCTCAGCCTCCTGGGTACTAGGATTGCAGGTGTGAGCCATCTTGCCTGGTATTTTCTTTAACTGAGCTGTTTTGGTCTAAATCAGAGGTGGTCAGAACCACTGAATGCTTCTTTCTCCAAAGGCCTACCCTCTAGTTTTATGTTTTATCATCTTCTAATTTTTCTGAAAATTTACAAATGTTCTTTATAATTTTTCTTGAGGGCTCATGGGAGCTTAAGTCACTTTCCTTACAACTTGCCTGTTAGAAACTACTTAGCTAACTTAAAGAAGTTGGTTCTAGTGTATTAGAACCCAGAGCCAATCTGAAAATTGGGAAGTTAGTGGTAAATTCTCAATGTTTCTTAAGTCATAATATGCAAAACATCAGCAGTTCATGCCTGGGATTTCACATCTTCTTAAGTGCGTCACCTGCCACCCGGCACCCTGGATACATTTGTTTTGGGTATGATGCTTCTAGAGTTGTTAGACCTCAGGCTGAAAACCTCCTTTCAAATGCAGGGTCCAGGTCATGAATCCCTTAACCAGGAACTTAGCTGCAGCACTTTATGTATCTTTAAATGTCTGTGGCAAGGGTGGCAGTGGTGGGTTGGGGACAGCCTTTCCTCCAAATTTTGGGCAGTTAACAGTTGGCTTCCAGTTGAAGGAATACATATCCGTAAATCTTGACAAAATCTAAAAGGTGCTGGATGACAGGGTCCCACACTGAATTGTCACTCCTGCTGGTCCCCAGGAGGTGATGCATAACACACCCTTTGTGTGTCTGTCAATCTTTGGCTCACCCCTGGGCTGCCATGGTTTGATGCTGGCCGTGGGTCCTCATTCCTCATTCTCTAATCTACATTTGAAGTACCCTGAAGCCAGAACTGCACAGGTGTAGACCATTGGCAGAGGTGTCAGGAACATCAGCACCATACTTACTGCAGCGTGCTGCTAACAGCACCACCAGGCCATTAGTGGGACAGTGCTTGCTGAGCACACCTAAGATTCTGGGTTTGCTCTTCAGCCCCATAAAGCAAACAAAACCCCAAGTTAAAAACTCCTCATGGGGGCTGGAGAGATGGCTCCGAAGTTAAGAACACTGGCTGATCTTCCAAAGGTCCTGAGTTCAATTCCCAGCAACCACATGGTGGCTCACAGTCATGTGAGATCTGGTGCACAGGCACATATGCAGGCAGAATGCTGTATAAATAATAAATCTAAAAAAAAAGCTCCTTATGACTGTAAAAACATCTAAGTTTGTAAACGTGAAATAGATGAGGGTATGGTGAGTAAGTAAACAGGCCATCTCCACTGTGCCACACCAACTTAAAGTTTGGGGATAGCTCTGTTTTCTCAAAGAACTGGCAATGATTACCAAGGTAAATTTGTTTTGGGGAGGTATTGCTTTGAGTATCAAGAGTTATGTAGATGTGTATGTTTGGTTGTGTTGTAATGTGTTTTATTAGGAGAAGGATGGTGTGACAGGAAATCCTTGCTTGTGTTCTCCCTTGGTTAGATGTGTAGTTATAGGTGTGGGCACTTCACACTGTGTAGGCTGAGGACAAAATGATACCTAGTAAGGTAAAAAAGCAAAGTCTTAGAGCACAGGGATGTCCATGTGGAATGTCACCTGTAGTAAGGTTGCTGCTGGAGCTGACCAGCCACTCTAGTTTCTGCTTTGAAAGGTGGTGGTCTTAGGAACAGCGTGTGCAATGATTTTCCTCTTTTCAGGGTCCATACTTGGGGAGATGTGAGGACTGTTGTGGATTTATTTTCTTTCACTACCCATGATGTGTTGGTGGCTGCTGAGACATGTGGTTTCTGTCTGGGGACGTCTCAAGTGCAAGCTCTGTGCTTCACCAAGTGTTCTCTACACTTCACTAAGAAGTTGAACAAGATACTTTTTCCCTTGATTATTTTCAAACTGTCATCCAAAAGTTTCATGTGGTTGCTGGGAATTGAACTCAGGACTTCTGGAAG